GAAGTCCATGAGAAGACGTTTCCAGGATGGAGGAAAAGCTATCCTGACCATAGAGATAGAGGACTCATCTTTGTATCTGTGCCATTATAGCATCGATGACCGCATGCCCATCTCCATTTTGAAGTAGTCAATTTTCTTCTTCATGATTGGCTGATCCCTCCTGATGACCCGGTTGGACATGACTCCAACAGGGTCACCAGGAGGGATCAACCAATGATATTGGAAGTCCCACCCAGTTGACTACATCGAAATGGTGGAAGCCCTCAATGGTGCTGCCCATGCTAATACTGCCTTTTGGCCATTAGAGGCCTCTATCATTCTCTATGATCCTGAGGACCTTATGTGTCCTTTAGGCAAATTTGTTGAGCATGAGGAAAGACACATACAGTGGGGAGAACAAGTATTTGATACACTGCCGATTTTGCAGGTTTTCCTACTTACAAAGCATGTAGAGGTCTGTAATTTTTATCATAGGTACACTTCAACTGTGAGAGATGGAATCTAAAACAAAAATCCAGAAAATCACATTGTATGATTTTTAAGTAATGAATTTGCATTTTATTGCATGACATAAGTATTTGATCACCTACTAACCATTTAGAATTCCGGCTCTCACAGACCTGTTAGTTTTTTTTTAAGAAGTCCTCCTGTTCTCCACTCATTACCTGTATTAACTGCACAAGGCTGGGATGGGCTACAGGACAATAGGCAAGCAGCTTGGTGAGACGGCAACAACTGTTCAAGATGACGGTCAATCACCCTCGGTCTGGGGCTCCATGCAAGATCTCACCTCGTGGGGCATCAATGATCATGAGGAAGGTGAGGGATCAGCCCAGAACTACACGGCAGGACCTGGTCAATGACCTGAAGAGAGCTGGGACTACAGTCTCAAAGAAAACCATTAGTAAAACACTACGCCGTCATGGATTAAAATCCTGCAGCGCACGCAAGGTCCCCCTGCTCAAGCCAGCGCATGTCCAGGCCCGTCTGAAGTTTGCCAATGACCATCTGGATGATCCAGAGGAGGAATGGGAGAAGGTCATGTGGTCTGATGAGACAAAAATAGAGCTTTTTGGTCTAAACTCCACTCGCCGTGTTTGGAGGAAGAAGAAGGATGAGTACAACCCCAAGAACACCATCCCAACCGTGAAGCATGAGGTGGAAACATCATTCTTTGGGGATGCTTTTCTGCAAAGGGGACAGGACGACTGCACCGTATTGAGGGGAGGATGGATGGGGCCATGTATCGCGAGATCTTGGCCAACAACCTCCTTCCCTCAGTAAGAGCATTGAAGATGGGTCGTGGCTGGGTCTTCCAGCATGACAACGACCCGAAACACACAGCCAGGGCAACTAAGGAGTGGCTCCATAAGAAGCATCTCAAGGTCCTGGAGTGGCCTAGCCAGTCTCCAGATCTCAACCCCATAGAAAATATTTGGAGGGAGTTGAAAGTCTGTGTTGCCCAGCGACAGCCCCAAAACATCACTGCTCTAGAGGAGATCTGCATGGAGGAATGGGCCAAAATACCAGCAACAGTGTGTGAAAACCTTGTGAAGACTTACAGAAAACCTTTGACCTGTGTCATTGCCAACAAAGGGTATATAACAAAGTATTGAGAAACTTTTGTTATTGACCAAATACTTATTTTCCACCATAATTTGCAAATAAATTCATTAAAAATCCTACAATGTGATTTTCTGGATTTTTTTTCCTCATTTTGTCTGTCATAGTTGACGTGTACCTATGATGAAAATTACAGGCCTCTCTCATCTTTTTAAGTGGGAGAACTTGCACAATTGGTGGCTGACTAAATACTTTTTTTCTCCCACTGTATGTGACCCATGTCATTGCTCTCTCTGCTGTGTCCACTGAGCCATTGGGCCTGCCATGCATCCTCATTGGATAACGCTGGGCAGGTCTCCTGCTAGCTGTCACTCAAATACGAGGGGCTGAAGCTCATTGGCTAGAATTCAAATTGCTAGGGGGCTGGCCCAAGTGGCGGGAAATGTAGGGAAAGTGGCACGGCACAGCTTCAAGAAAACAGTTGCTTTCAAACTAGGGCTTTCATGGCTAATTGAGGCAAGACAGTAATTCTGCTCATAAATTATGCAAGTATGAACTACACATTGACATATCCAGCCCAAAACAGGACGTAAAAAACCCAAAATGCTCTTAATCCCAAAAGTACCGGACCATGTCTTTAACCAATCCCTGAGCTTTTCTTAAACTAAGTTAAGAGATGTACTATGGGCCTACATACATCATTTTGTGTTATTTGGACTTATGGTTCATGAGAAGTCCATGAGAAGACGTTTCCAGGATGGAGGAAAAGCTATCCTGACCATAGAGATAGAGGACTCATCTTTGTATCTGTGCCATTATAGCATCGATGACCGCATGCCCATCTCCATTTTGAAGTAGTCAATTTTCTTCTTCATGATTGGCTGATCCCTCCTGATGACCCGGTTGGACATGACTCCAACAGGGTCACCAGGAGGGATCAACCAATGATATTGGAAGTCCCACCCAGTTGACTACATCGAAATGGTGGAAGCCCTCAATGGTGCTGCCCATGCTAATACTGCCTTTTGGCCATTAGAGGCCTCTATCATTCTCTATGATCCTGAGGACCTTATGTGTCCTTTAGGCAAATTTGTTGAGCATGAGGAAAGACACATACAGTGGGGAGAACAAGTATTTGATACACTGCCGATTTTGCAGGTTTTCCTACTTACAAAGCATGTAGAGGTCTGTAATTTTTATCATAGGTACACTTCAACTGTGAGAGATGGAATCTAAAACAAAAATCCATAAAATCACATTGTATGATTTTTAAGTAATGAATTTGCATTTTATTGCATGACATAAGTATTTGATCACCTACTAACCATTTAGAATTCCGGCTCTCACAGACCTGTTAGTTTTTTTTTAAGAAGTCCTCCTGTTCTCCACTCATTACCTGTATTAACTGCACAAGGCTGGGATGGGCTACAGGACAATAGGCAAGCAGCTTGGTGAGACGGCAACAACTGTTCAAGATGACGGTCAATCACCCTCGGTCTGGGGCTCCATGCAAGATCTCACCTCGTGGGGCATCAATGATCATGAGGAAGGTGAGGGATCAGCCCAGAACTACACGGCAGGACCTGGTCAATGACCTGAAGAGAGCTGGGACTACAGTCTCAAAGAAAACCATTAGTAAAACACTACGCCGTCATGGATTAAAATCCTGCAGCGCACGCAAGGTCCCCCTGCTCAAGCCAGCGCATGTCCAGGCCCGTCTGAAGTTTGCCAATGACCATCTGGATGATCCAGAGGAGGAATGGGAGAAGGTCATGTGGTCTGATGAGACAAAAATAGAGCTTTTTGGTCTAAACTCCACTCGCCGTGTTTGGAGGAAGAAGAAGGATGAGTACAACCCCAAGAACACCATCCCAACCGTGAAGCATGAGGTGGAAACATCATTCTTTGGGGATGCTTTTCTGCAAAGGGGACAGGACGACTGCACCGTATTGAGGGGAGGATGGATGGGGCCATGTATCGCGAGATCTTGGCCAACAACCTCCTTCCCTCAGTAAGAGCATTGAAGATGGGTCGTGGCTGGGTCTTCCAGCATGACAACGACCCGAAACACACAGCCAGGGCAACTAAGGAGTGGCTCCATAAGAAGCATCTCAAGGTCCTGGAGTGGCCTAGCCAGTCTCCAGACCTGAACCCAATAGAAAATCTTTGGAGGGAGCTGAAAGTCTCTATTGCCCAGCGACAGCCCCGAAACCTGAAGGATCTGGAGAAGGTCTGTATGGAGGAGTGGGCCAAAATCCCTGCTGCAGTGTGTGCAAACCTGGTCAAGACCTACAGGAAATGTATGATCTCTGTAATTGCAAACAAAGGTTTCTGTACCAAATATTAAATTCTGCTTTTCTGATGTATCAAATACTTATGTCATGCAATAAAATGCAAATTAATTACTCAAAAATCATTTTCTGGATTTTTGTTTTAGATTCCGTCTCTCACAGTTGAAGTGTACCTATGATAAAAATTACAGACCTCTACATGCTTTGTAAGTAGGAAACCTGCAAAATCGGCAGTGTATCAAATACTTGTTCTCCCCACTGTACATACAAAGTTTCAATTGTCTAGGTGGCGACAGATATGCAGGTTTAAGTGAGATTGCTTATAACAGCGCCACCTATAGGCAAATTGGTGCCATTATTTCTGACCAAGTTACTCATGGCCTCTAGTTTCTGTGGCAAATTTGAAAAAAACATACCAATCTATGCGTGAGTTATTTAACCAATTCTTTAAATAATTATGCTGTTGAATTGGCTAACATGGGAAGTCATAGTAGTCGCAAACCACAGTTGGCTTCACTGTGAACCCCTAATAAATCAAAAATGTCCTGCAGTCTTAAAGTGACTAATTAATTTGCAGAAATATGGGATGGGTGACCTCTTGTACCGTTCAGTTCACGAACGGTCAGGTGGTTTAGGCTGCGGGTATTCCTACCAGTCACTGATTCGGTCAAGGGTAGCCAGTCTCTGAATGGAGGGTTGAAGATGGTGACAGCAAAGTCAGTGCAGAGCGGTGTCCTTCATTCCTGAAGGCAGGGTAGGGACAGAGCCTGCAGTGCATCTGTATAACTGGAATATCCTCCTATGATGGTGCAGCATGCCCTCTTCTGAATTAGTAGACGCTTTTATCCAAAGCGACTTACAGTCATGCATGCATATATTTTAACGTATATGTGGCCCCAATGGGAATCGAACCCACAACCTGTGGTGTTGCAAGCGCCATGCTCTATCGACTGAGCAACATAAATGTGTTGTTGTCACTGAAGACCAAAAGTAATGTTTTTCTTGTAGGACCATTACCAAATATATTCTTCAATGAGCTACAGTGAAAATCATAGATCACTTTTAGCACACATTAAGATTTCAAAAATATTTTATTTGGAATCCTAAATTCATTGAATTTAGGATTCCAAAGCAAATTGCAAGAAGTGTATTAAGAGGTCATAGTGCAACATTTATTATTTTGTTTTGGTAACAGTTAATATAATGACATAATATGCATTGATACAACAGAACACACTGTAGCAAAGGAAAAAGCTAAAATCTATCAACCCAGAGACTGCCATTCATCCCAACTGGGGAAAGAATAAGCGATGGCATGATAAGGTGAGCATTTCCTGTCACTTTTTCATCTCCAGTATCCCACTTCCTGGTCCTCTCCGCTTTGCACTGCAGATGTTGCAAAACTGGACTCCAGGAATCTGAAAGTGAAAAGCAAAAGCCATATTAGTCCCTAGTCTGCTGCTCTCATCTGAAAGTCCATATGCAGTGAGAAAGAGAAGGGGAGATAATGGAGCAGATACTTACTGTTCCGGGAGAAGGTAAACACTCCTTGTGGAACATGTGTCTGCAGTGGAAGACCACCACACTGAAGTTCTGGGCCATATCTACAACAAAGGAGCAAATACATTAATAAATGTCTGAGAATCTAATTCAGCATAACAGCATCTAGCTCCACCTCATCAGATGAGTTCATTAGCTAGAGCCATAACTGAATAGAGGTGTGTTGAATAACTTTAAATATAATGATGGTAAGAAGCATCCCAATTATAATACTGTAGTGTAGACACTGTATAAGAATATAAAATATAATATTGTATAATGTTAAAGAAGGTAAGCCCACCTGATGGTAATATTGAAGCGTGACAGGATTCACAGATGTTCTCTTCTGAAAAATACAACAATAACAAGGTTTAAGTCAATCTTAAGCAGTAAACATTAACACATATTCAAACTGACCATCTACCCACCATCCACTCGGACTCCTCTCATCTGAGTCCTATGCATCTTTTGGAGCAGGGAGAGCGAGTCAGCCACTAAGATCTTCTTACAGCCCTCCCGCAGCAAGATCTGAGATACAGAGAAACAATAACCTTTAAGAGAAGAGGCAAGGCTGGACTGTTCATCTGTTGTTACGGTGATATTCTAGGTACACTATGTGATGGCTGATATTCTGACCTGCAGGTTGTAGTCCTGTAGGATTTTGACCAGAGAATCTCGGAGGTTAGGAATCTCCATTCCCTCCTTTATGCGGTGGATGAGCAAGATGGGATCCACATGTGTCCCAATGTTATTAAGGAGACCAGTAATGAAGGCTTGAGAAAGAGGAAAAAAATTGAAACTTAAAATGACAGTCATGGAAACACTATGTTGTAGACCTGCTTATTTGAAAGTGCTTCTGTATTCATGTGACTTACGTGGCTTATCAATGGAATAGGAGATGAGATCCTCCCACAGCTCAGCGTCATCCTGCTCCTTAGCAAACTCTATGGCCTTGTCCACATCCTCCAGTTCCTCCATGATCATCTGAAGGGCCCGTCTACAGTTCCCCATCCTGCCTATGAGGGGCAAGTTACAGTGGGTCAGTTTCCTCAGACCAAATGCAGTTAATTACCTGACTGGCTGGAGGTTTAGTTCAGCTTGCCCCTCATATCTAGAAGCCTTTGTAACAATTTATAAAGCACTAATGAGCATTTATAATGGCTTATTCATGAGAGTTACAAACAGAAACTGTAAGGGGTCACTTACTGAGCAGGAAGACAGTCTCCTCCACAAAGTTTCTCTCCTGACAAATCTCCAGAGCCTGAAGAATTGTACAAGTAAGATGATTCATTATGGTTCTAATGTACAGTATCTCACAAAAGTGAGTACACACCTCACATTTTTGTAAATATTTGAGTATATCTATTCATGTGACAACACTGAAGAAATGACACTTTGCTACAATATAAAGTAGTGAGTGTACAGCTTGTATAACAGTGTAAATTTGCTGTCCCCTCAAAATAACTCAACACACAGCCATTAATGTCTAAATCGCTGGCAACAAAAGTGAGTACACCCCTAAGTGAAAATGTCCAAATTGGGCCCAGTTAGCCATTTTCCCTCCCCGGTGTCATGTGACTCATTAGTGTTACAAGGTCTCAGGTGTGAATGGGGAGTAGGTGTGTTAAATTTGGTGTCATCGCTCTCACACTCCCTCATACTGGTCACTGGAAGTTCAACATGGCACCTCATGGCAAAGAACTCTCTGAGGATCTGAAAAAAAGAATTGTTGCTCTACATAAAGATGGCCTGGGCTATAAGAAGATTGCCAAGACCCTGAAACTGAGCTGCAGCATGGTGGCCAAGACCATACAGTGGTTTAACAGGACAGGTTCCACTCAGAACAGGCCTCGCCATGGTCGACCAAAGAAGTTGAGTGCACGTGCTCAACGTCATATCCAGAGGTTGTCTTTGGGAAATAGACGTATGAGTGCTGCCAGCATTGCTGCAGAGGTTGAAGGGGTGGGGGGTCAGCCTGTCAGTGCTCAGACCATACGCCGCACACTGCATCAAATTGGTCTGCATGGCTGTCGTCCCAGAAGGAAGCCTCTTCTAAAGATGATGCACAAGAAAGCCTGCAAACAGTTTGCTGAAGACAAGCAGACTAAGGACATGGATTACTGGAACCATGTCCTGTGGTCTGATGAGACCAAGATAAACGTATTTGGTTCAGATGGTGTCAAGCGTGTGTAGCGGCAACCAGGTGAGGAGTACAAAGACAAGTGTGTCTTGCCTACAGTCAAGCATGGTGGTGGGAGTGTCATGGTCTGGGGCTGCATGAGTGCTGCCGGCACTGGGGAGCTACAGTTCATTGAGGGAACCATGAATGCCAACATGTACTGTGACATACTGAAGCAGAGCATGATCCCCTCCCTTCGGAGACTGGGCCGCAGGGCAGTATTCCAACATTATAACGACCCCAAACACACCTCCAAGACGACCACTGCCTTGCTAAAGAAGCTGAGGGTAAAGGTGATGGACTGGCCAAGCATGTCTCCAGACCTAAACCCTATTGAGCATCTGTGGGGCATCCTCAAATGGAAGGTGGAGGAGTGCAAGGTCTCTAACATCCACCAGCTCCGTGATGTCGTCATGGAGGAGTGGAAGAGGACTCCAGCGGCAACCTGTGAAGCTCTGGTGAACTCCATGCCCAAGAGGGTTAAGGCAGTGCTGGAAAATGATGGTGGCCACACAAAATATTGACACTTTGGGCCCAATTTGGACATTTTCACTTAGGGGTGTACTCACTTTTGTTGCCAGCGGTTTAGACATTAATGGCTGTGTGTTGTGTTATTTTGAGGGGACAGCAAATTTACACTGTTATACAAGCTGTACACTCACTACTTTACATTGTAGCAAAGTGTCATTTCTTCAGTGTTGTCACATGAAAAGATATACTCAAATATTTACAAAAATGTGAGGGGTGTACTCACTTGTGAGATACTGTATCTGACATACTTGATAAGATAATATAAATCTAAATTAGAAGAAATGTACTTCATGGGCATTTGTATTTGAGCACACAGTGTGAAAGTGACTCTAAGTACCTTTTCTAGTGGGCAGTGGATGCTGTCCCTCAGGAATGGCAGTAGGTTGGGCCGATCGTACTCAGCATACAGGCCAATTTGTCTCTCATGGTACCTCTGACCCTTGTGGTGGTCCCTCTTGAACAGTTTGTGTAAGTACTGAAGGAAGGGGGGAAATGCATTGTTAAACTCAGACAATTTTCAATCAAGATAATCATAGGAAATTAGAAACTTTAAATCACTAAAGACCTTGTAAAGTGTGACTCACAATGTGTAGCAGCTCAGGTCTGTCCCTGAGTTCCTCCACCACTCTGTCAATCTGTAGAACATCGAAGACAGAAACATGGTTAGCGAACAGCATGTATTTTTATTTGAAACTATATGAAAGATCAAGGGTAGCAAGGTACACATACCGATATTTTGTCTTCATTATCCAGGAGCATGTCGACAGCTTTCTGACAGCACAAATAAAGAGAGCCCATTCTTCAGACAGGGATACACACAAAGTGACTTATGACCTTTGTGGTTTTACAATCAAAATGCATTAAGAGCTGTGTGAGGCACGATGACTCTTGGCAAAGGTTTTCCATGACTTTCTCACAGCTTAAAGCACTCAAAGACCAACTTTAAAAAAGGCAAGATGATATTACTATTCAAGTAAGGACAATTATACACAACACAGCTATACAGGTGCAAGGTCCTATGATACAGCAAGGAGTCTACTTTATCAAAGGATGATGCATTATGTTCTGGCTACCCACCTCTTTATCAAAGTCCATGAGGAGCACAATCTTGTCTTCTATGGAGGAGAAGAGGTTGTGTTTGTGGATCAGCTGGTAAACATCTTTATGCCTCAGTCTCAGGTAGATCTCCAGGGCTCGGTCATACCGTTGGTCATATGTATACCTGCATGGACATTACAAAGACGTAGCTTAGTGGCACTTCAAACTCTCTCAATCTATCAGAGGGAAATGGATATTGCAACAATTGAAAGGTTATGAAGTCAATGAAAATGGTGAAACCAGTGGAGAGTCACTCACAGTTCAGCCAGTGTGGTGAGCAGGGTGCTGTTCGTGGGGTCCTTCTTGAGGTGGTCGGCGACTGCCTGAACAATGGTCATGTTATTGTAGAGCTCTCCTGGCCACTCACGGATCAACGTGGCAAAGCCCTTGGAGAGAGAGGTTGCAGAGAGAGGCTGGGTAAATGAGTTCATATTTGCATCTACTATATTTGGTTCTTCTTGAGTACTTGTTATAATACTAGAATCAAAAAATGTAAGAAGACCACCAGGAACAGACGGACATACCTCATAGTCAGTCTTTAGAAACTCATTTAAGATCATCTCATAGATGGCAGGTCTGAGACGCATGTCCCCTCTGGGCAAGTATTGACTGATGGCCTGGAGAGGCAGAGACCAAAGGAGAGGTGGGGGGGACCAAAGGAGAGAGATGAGAGAGAGTTATATGAGGATATATGGGGAGGAGAAAATGATAAAGAGATAATTACAACAACAGTTAATACTGAGGGCAACACTGAGAGTATTGTTCCTTCTAAAACTTACAGTGAGGGAAAAAAGTATTTGATCCCCTGCTGATTTTGTACGTTTGCCCACTGACAAAGAAATGATCAGTCTATAATTTTAATGGTAGGTTTATTTGAACAGTGAGAGATAGAATAACAACAACAAAATCCAGAAAAACGCATGTCAAAAATGTTATAAATTGATTTGCATTTTAATGAGGGAAATAAGTATTTGACCCCCTCTCAATCAGAAGATTTCTGGCTCCCAGTTGTCTTTTATACAGGTAACGAGCTGAGATTAGGAGCATACTCTTAAAGGGAGTGCTCCTAATGTCAGCTCGTTACCTGTATAAAAGACACCTGTCCACAGAAGCAATCAATCAATCAGATTCCAAACTCTCCACCATGGCCAAGACCAAAGAGCTCTCCAAGGATGTCAGGGACAAGATTGTAGACCTACACAAGGCTGGAATGGGCTACAAGACCATCGCCAAGCAGCTTGGTGAGAAGGTGACAACAGTTGGTGCGATTATTCGCAAATGGAAGAAACACAAAAGAACTGTCAATCTCCCTTGGCCTGGGGCTCCATGCAAGATCTCACCTCGTGGAGTTGCAATGATCATGAGAACGGTGAGGAATCAGCCCAGAACTACACGGGAGGATCTTGTCAATGATCTCAAGGCAGCTGGAACCATAGTCACCAAGAAAACAATTGGTAACACACTACGCCGTGAAGGACTGAAATCCTGCAGTGCCCGCAAGGTCCCCCTGCTCAAGAAATCACATATACAGGCCCGTCTGAAGTTTGCCAATGAACATCTGAATGATTCAGAGGAGAACTGGGTGAAAGTGTTGTGGTCAGATGAGACCAAAATGGAGCTCTTTGGCATCAACTCAACTCGCCGTGTTTGGAGGAGGAGGAATGCTGCCTATGACCCCAAGAACACCACCCCCACCGTCAAACATGGAGGTGGAAACATTATGCTTTGGGGGTGTTTTTCTGCTAAGGGGACAGGACAACTTCACCGCATCAAAGGGACGATGGACGGGGCCATGTACCGTCAAATCTTGGGTGAGAACCTCCTTCCCTCAGCCAGTGCATTGAAAATGAGTCGTGGATGGGTATTCCAGCATGACAATGACCCAAAACACACGGCCAAGGCAACAAAGGAGTGGCTCAAGAAGAAGCACATTAAGGTCCTGGAGTGGCCTAGCCAGTCTCCAGACCTTAATCCCATAGAAAATCTGTGGAGGGAGCTGAAGGTTCGAGTTGCCAAACGTCAGCCTCGAAACCTTAATGACTTGGAGAAGATCTGCAAAGAGGAGTGGGACAAAATCCCTCCTGAGATGTGTGCAAACCTGGTGGCCTACAAGAAACGTCTGACCTCTGTGATTGCCAACAAGGGTTTTGCCACCAAGTACTAAGTCATGTTTTGCAGAGGGGTCAAATACTTATTTCCCTCATTAAAATGCAAATCAATTTATAACATTGTTGACATGCGTTTTTCTGGATTTTTTTGTTGTTATTCTGTCCCTCACTGTTCAAATAAACCTACCATTAAAATTATAGACTGATCATGTCTTTGTCAGTGGGCAAACGTACAAAATCAGCAGGGGATCAAATACTTTTTTCCCCTCACTGTACTTAAAGTCTTTAATGCCATAATTCATCACTTCTTAGGGCCGGGAAGACACCTGTATAGCAATATTTTTTCCATGGCAAAAATGAAAACGTGAAGCAGACCAAACTCTTTGGTCCTTTAAAAACCTGCTGTATGTAAAATATTGTGTCCTATAGCTTGGAAAATAAATACATGTGACTGGATGACAACATAATGATGTTTGTTTCCAACATTAGGGCTGTTCTCCTAAAGAAGTTAAATCTGCTTTGTGTTTGGTTTCCTTGCCACGATACTAAGGAGTATCGTGATACTGGTATCGTCCCGGCCCTATCACTTTAAATGGTCACAAGGTGGCCTGACTCACCTTCAACTGCCCAATGGTTTTAAACCTGTACACCTCATTTTCCCAGAGTTCCATGTTTTTCCCCAGCACCTTCTGACACTTCCTGGATTGAAGAGAACGAGAGAGAGAGAGGGAACAATCACTTCATCTACTCCTTGTACTGGTATTTTGCAGAAGAAACACTTAACAGAAATAACTAAAAAGGCTGTAGTACCTGGCAGCAGTGTCGTAGTCACCCTTCTCCACCAGGTGATTTATGTAAGCCATCCCAATTTTCTGATTAGAACAGAAGAGAAACTCCATTAGGGGGGGGGGGACAATGCAAATAGTCAGGGTAACCATTTCATTAGCTGTTCAGGAGTCTTATAGCTTGGGGGTAGAAGCTGTTAAGAAGCCTTTTGGACCTAGACTTGGCGCTCCGGTACCGCTTGCCGTGCGGTAGCAGAGAGAACAGTCTATGACTAGGGTGGCTGGAGTCTTTGACAATTGTTAGATGGCAGGAAGCTTGGCCCCTGTGATGTACACTGGGCCGTATATTACTACCCTCTGTAGTGCCTTGCGGTCGGAGGCCGAGCAGTTGCCATACCAGGCAGTGATGCAACCAGTCAGGATGCTCTCCATGGTGCAGCTGTAGAACGTTTTGAGGATCTGAGGACCCATGCCAAATCTTTTCAGTCTCCTGAGGGAGAATATGCTTTGTCGTGCCCTCTTCACGACTGCCTTGGTGTGTTTGGACAATGATAGTTTGTTAGTGATGTGGACACCAAGGAACTTGAAGCTCCAACCTGCTCCACTACAGCCCCATCGATGAGAATGGGGGCGTGCTTGGTCCTTCTTTTCCTGTACTACACAATCATCTCCTTTGTCTTGATCACGTTGAGGGAAAGGTTGTTATCCTGGCACCACACGGCCAGGTCTTTGACCTCCTCCCTATAGGCTGTCTCATCGTTTTCGGTGATCAGGCCTGTTGTGTCGTTGGCAAACTTAATGATGGTGTTGGAGTCATGCCTGGCCATGCAGTCATGGGTGAACAGGGAGTACAAGAGAGGACTGAGCACACACCCCTGAGGGTCCCCTGTGTTGAGGATCAGCGTGGCAGATGTGTTGTTACCTACCCTTACCACCTGGGGGCGGCCCGTCAGGAAGTCCAGGATCCAGTTGCAGAGGGAGGTGTTTAGTCCCAGGGTCCTTAGCTTAGTGATGAGCTTTGAGGGCACTATGGTGTTGAACGCTGAGCTTTAGTCAATGAATAGCATTATCACGTAGGTGTTCCTTTTGTCCAGGTGGGAAAGGGCAGTGTGGAGTGCAATAGAGATTGCATCATCTGTGGATCTGTTGGGGTGGTATGCAAATTGGAGTGGGTATAGGGTTTCTGGGATAATGGTGTTGATGTGAACCATGACCAGCCTTTCAAAGCACTTCATGGCTACAGATGTGAGTGCTACGGGTCTGTAGTCATTTAGGCAGGTTACCTTAGTGTTCTTGGGCACAGGGACTATGGTGGTCTGCTTGAAACATGTTGATATTACAGACTCAGTCAGGGACAGGTTGAAAATGTCAGTGAAGACACTTGCCAGTTGGTCAGCGCATGCTCGGAGTACACATCCTGGTAATCCGTCTGGCCCTGCGGCCTTGTGAATGTTGACCTGCTTAAAAGTCTTACTTACATCGGCTACGGAGAGCGTGATCACATAGTCATCCGGAACAGCTGATGCTCTCATGCATGCTTCAGTGTTGCTTGCCTCGAAGCGAGCATAGAAGTGATTTAGCTCGTCTGGTAGGCTCGTGTCACTGGGCGGCTCGTGTCACTGGGCAGCTCGCGGCTGTGCTTCCCTTTGTAGTCTGTAATAGTTTACGAGCCCTGCCGCATCCGACGAGCATCAGAGCCAGTGTAGTACGATTAAATCTTAGTCCTGTATTGATGCTTTGCCTGTGATGGTTCGTCGGAGGGCATAGCGGGATTTAACGCCAAATACAACAGGTGTAGACCTTACTGTGAAATGCTTACTTACAAGTATGTGGACTGTGTCTTCTGTAATTTCATCAAGTGTTGTATCTTCTGTAGTTTCATCTGGTGTGCATCATGTGATTTTGAGATTTTGAACTGAGAAGAAAGGTTACTTTACTAACCTTTGCGTAGTTAATTTGCTAAAGTGGGTTGACTTATGGTGGGATCCGTTAAAATACACGTGTAGGTAAAATAGGAGTAGCAATAGAGAGTGAATAGCAAGGAATAGCAATATTCAAGGTAGGAATAGAACATGACCAATGCAGTACCTGGATTTCATGGCGTTTAATGTTCTTGAAGCTGATCTCAGCAGCCATCAGAGCTTCCTGTAAGAGAAAAAAAGTTGTGGCAACAGCCGACAGGTATAATGCATTATTACTTGTTATAAGCATGCATATCTTATGTCTTATAAGGTTTATAATATGTATCTCAATGCAACACATTTCCTGAAAATCTGCTCTCAACTGATCACTGAGAAGATACTGTACAACGCAGCAAAATACTGAAATCAAGTCTGCTTGATTGGATCCTTAAAACACTGACCTCATACTTCTTCTTGTCCAGCAGCCAGTCAATGTGGTCATCCTGGTCTCTCTCTTTGGCCACCACGATGTCTTTAGGGCTGATGATGTAGAAAAGGGATTCTCCCTCAGAATGTTCTGTTGACATGAGGGTACAGGACAGAGCATGTGATATATCCTGCATAGTAGGTTAAAGTAGCTAGAATATGGAAATACAGAGTCTCTCGGAGTAGTGTTTGCCGGGGAGAGGTTTCTGACTGACTCACCCAGCTGGTAGTCTCGACACTCATTCTCCTGGAAGTTGCGGACGGTCAGGGCATCTGATGAGATTTCCTCAAAGCCCTCTGGGAGAGGCTGAATGATGTCCAGACGAGGCCGCGCTCTGAACTCCTCCTCCTGATCAAATACACACACACACTTATGTAAACACATACACACAGTTATGTAATAAACACATGTAAACATGTTGACCAAATCAACATTTAAGTACCATGTCTGACCACTTAAGCCATTCCATCATACAGTATCTAACCAAACAGTACCATGTGGTCAGAGTTTTCCTTCACAAAGTACAGGTTGACCAGCTGGTCTGCTAGAGGCGCCAGGCCACTGATGAAGAACTCGGTTTCAAATGCAGACACTGCAAGAGAGAAGCCCAAATTACTCCACATCACCTCCACATTCTGTCACAGTAAAGCTCTACAAAACGTGTTGGTACATTAATACTGTGACTAGCACATGCATTCCCTGCCCTCACCAATTTCCACATAACGGCTAGGAAGGTCTCTCATCTCTGTGTGGTCCCTCTCCTTCACGGCACAGATCTTAACGGTGGAGCCCCAGCCGATGATGAGGGTGGAGTTGTCTTTCCAGCACAGACTGCATGGGTACATATCAGGCCGCAGGCTAACGTTATCCCGTAAGACGTTGGTGATTCGTTGTTTGGTGCTGATGTCATAGATTTTCACCCCCTGAAAGAGACCAAGACAGAGTATATTCACTATAATATGTCCTTGCATGTCTAATGCACTGTATGGCATGTTTGTGACAGACATGTCAACGTGTCTATTTAAGATGACATGCTGTATGATGCAAAAAATTATAATTCCAAACAGATACAATAAAAGTCCACCATGTTTCTTGTATAGCCAATGTATCTGAAGCATTGACTGTTGTCCATACCACATTGTTGGCCCAGGCGATGAGATTGGCCCTCCACTGGACGTTAGTGATGGTGCCCTCCCCTTCGTGCAGAGTGGACGTCTTCCAACGGTTCAGCCAGTTCCTCTCGTACAGAAGAAGCTTGGGCGAGCAACATGAAAACATTTCAAATCAGAACCATGTGTGCCATTAATATCCAACTTACCACCATTGTTTCAAGACAGGCACAAGCAATCGTGTCCTTAGAGCGGTGGTTTGTGGTTCTTGTATTTCCACCACCAGAGGGCAGTAGAGCACAGGGACAGGAGGACAGTCTGTTGTGTCAGTGGGTCTCCAAGAGTGGGAGGATTGTTTCAACTTGAGCTTTATCATAAACATTAAGTAAACAGACACTGTCTTTCAACACCATCTATCTCAACTCAGTGAGCACACATGATCTTGTCTTTATATGATTCACCTAACCGATCAATGTGATGTATGACATGATGTGAGTAAAGAACTGGAAGGGAAAACTAAAGATGGCATAAAAGATTATTTGATCTTCAAACACAGATCTCCTTCATAATACAAGACTGACAAAATCAATTCTTGAGAACTTAATTATTTCAGTAGGTTTGACGGCCTACATCGTATTTCTCTAAATCACTGATTCTCGTCAATGGCTTTGAGACATAATGATGGCTGTAGTCACTCTTTTCATTCGGCTGTGGCTTCACCTCAGAGAAGGCCATATACATAAAAAGCATTTCAGGCCTTTAAAAGCATCTCTCAGTGTCACAGTCATACAGACGGGTGTACAATAGCCTTTAGTTATTAGGAGCGGGGAAGTGCGGCGAGAGGGAGACAGCCCCGGCCTTTAATTCAAGTCTGGAAATGTTAACAGTTCTCTCCACAAAGAGAGGATATGACACTGGAAGAACTGTGGAGACAGAATTGAATTGCCTTTGACAGGATGTGGCTCCATTTGAGGCTTATTGATTTTCATCACAGGGTGCTTTATGGAGGGTCTTGAGCACACGTAGAGGAAATAAATCAGTACCAATTGTGAGAAAATGGCAAAATAACACTAACAATGTGCATTTCATAAGAAAAGAAAGGTGGATTGGAGGAGTCGAGCAGCTTAAACACTTTCACCTTCGCAAGTGTTGTAGATATGTATACAACTTTTTTCCCCAATGATGTTGGGGGGATTGTACAGTACAGATTTCTTGTCTATTGTATCATTTGGTGGTGTTGCGGCAGACTGCAGTCTTTGGCAATGAAAAGGGAACATTAGTACCTAACATATAAAGTGTTTTCGGAGTCTGAGACAAATTTGGGGTATGTTAGAGAAGAGACTGCTGTGTGTCAGCCTGCCCGGGACCCTAAGACTATGGGTCCTCCTGATAATGATAATCTATTTGGTGTGCTTGTGAAGCATTGCCTTGCAAACACTGTTGAGCGAGCAGCACTTTGTGAAAATGGGCCGCTCGCCCCGGAGTGCACTCTAGAAGAGAGACAGGGGAAAGTAGGAGGCTTTCACACCAGCGAACAAAGGCCTATGTGTGCACAGCCATCAACCAAGCACAAGGGGGGAGGCTCAAGTGATTCTGTTTCACCAGAACAAAATCTAAATGAATTATTTTATAAAACAAAGGCTCATTTATGCTAAATATTTGTTAACTAAAACATGAATATAGAGATCTGTCCACATGAGCTAATCTGCAACAGTTTTCAACTACACTCCTGCTAACACTTGAGATGGGCTGTATACTGTACCCACATTGAAAAATACCTTTAAATCTCACCTTGTTGCCACCAGTGACAAATTGTTTGTAGTTTGAACTGCTGAACCGAGGGTGTAGCGCCACCACCTGGAGAACACGGCAATTTGATCAATTTAGAACGGACCAAGAGTTTACAAGCAATGGTGTGGGCTATCTGGAGATGCGCTGACAATATTTATACCACCCGGTACATATACTCTCAACTTGTCATAAAAGAATGAAGTTAAAATAAGTATATGACATCTGCTTACTTTGACAGGACAGTCAAAGTTCTCATGGAAGCCTTCCCTTGTGTAGAGTCCAAACACTTGAACCTACAATAAAGACATGATAGAATGACAAGAAAGGATCAGTCAGTAAAGTATGACATGAAAAATAATGAAACGATAAAAAAGTAAATATATATAATGTTTTTCCAACCTAGTTACAGGGTTTCATTGAATAGACCAGAGCCTTCAGCAAAACACATCTCTGTCCCTAATTAATGTCTGTCTAGCTGTCTGGGCGCAGTCTGAGTGTTACGGAGTCACTGTTGTGTATGCAGGGGGAGTTCTGGACAGTAAGACTTTGATTGGATCACTGCTAGCCATCTGCCAGGTCACCAATTAGTGGACAGGTTGATTCTCTGAACCCTCCAGTGCTTTGATACCAGGGTTTTACCACAGCTGCAGTTAGTGTAGCTACAGCGATATCTAATGCAACAATGATACTGTCCCACAGCTTGACTATCCGTGTCAAAAAAAAGTTTCACAAAAAGAAACATCATCACGCCCTTTGCACTCTCCATCTTGAATCGCATAGATTATTCTGGTTTATCTGAAGGGATCGACATGGATTAACAGCAAACTGAATTGGTCGAGGATGAACAACTGCGGTGGCGACAATTTTAATTGTTGCCGCCACTTTCTGTGCGACAAGATCTTGTTTTGCCGCTGGAGTGCGTGCGAGGGGGCGATATCAAAGAGCATATCTGGACTGCAGCATCCATGAAGGATGGTAATAATGATCAGGATAGGAAAGATAACAACAAAGCAGAAAACACTGAGAGGGTATCCATAGAAATCTGATGACTGATAGGCAGGCGGATGGATGGGAGAGTCTTCCCCCTCACAACATGGGCATGAACATGTGCTCGTTCAAAATCCCTAGAAATGTGTAGATTTATGAAAGTAAACAGGTATGAGGAAGATACTTGTAAGTAAGCATTTCACAGTAAGGTCTACACCTGTTGTATTTGGCGCATCTGACAAATAAGATTTGATTTGATATAGCTTCTGGTTTGTAAATCGTCTATGACAACGGGGTCACAGATTTCTAAACTCCCTTTCTCCAGGTAACAAGTTCTATTAAATCCTAAATATGAACAGGAATATCCTTTGCTTTTGGAATTGATATGAGTTCATTAAATTGTATAATTGCATGGGGTAAGTGGAAAGTGTTGAATGTCAGAATGTGTCATGCATACCACCTAATGGTGGTGCAGAAATCTAGGATACATCCCAAATGGCATCCTATTCTCTACATCAGCGGTAGGCAACCCTGTTCCTGGAGTGCTGCAGGTACTGCAGGATCTTGTTCCAACTAGACACCACACCTGACCTAATTGATCAGTTTAGTGATTGCCTAAATTCAACACAACTGGTCTTCCAGGTCGGTAAAATCACAAACATGAAGTGCTTGCGGCACTCCTGGATCAGGGTTACCTACCCCTGCATTACATAGTGCTCTACTTTTGACCAGAGCCCTGCGGACTATGTAGGAATAGGCTGCCATTTAGGACGCAGCCCTCCTGTATGGCCACCAGTTCTGAGCAGAGATCTCACCTTGCCGTCCTCGGAGCAGATCCCCACATGCTCTCCGCTCTCATCCAGGCTGATCTGGTTGATCCTCACTGGACTCTGAGGAGAGAACACAACAACATTGACACTAAATGACTGGTACAGTTCTGAGGCAGAGAGCAAGTGATTCTTTTGGGATTGAGTGGAGTACTTACAATTTCAAACTTCTGAGTCACATTGCCTTGGATGTCCAGAAGGAAAACTTTCCCAAAGTGAGTTCCCAGTGCAAGGAACTGAAATGGAATGAACCTGAGATTAATCTTTAAGACACCTGGGAATAATCCAAGATTTTTCCACAAATTTTATACTGACGAAAGCTGTGGCAAGAGGATTAAAAATGCACTCTGTCTAGCATAGCTGGGGGAGGTGGGTAGAATGGGGTGTAATCAGTTTGCTCTGGGGCAAAAACTGTGAAATTACAGAGGGAGGGAAAACCCTATTTATTAAAGCAGACAGTGTGAAATGGTATTTTTTCTCTCAAATTAAAAGGGTTAAACATAATAAATGCACTGTACATCTGGCTTCTCCTCACGTCGCCAGCAACCCAACCACCGCCTCTCCTGCCCACCATAAAGCTATTATTTTCTACAGAGCAGAAACTGGTTCTGCATGTTTCCTGCTTCTGCCACGTATGAGAGTGTGTTTGAGTATGTGTGTAAGAGAGTGTGTGTATGTCCGCTGGGACAAGAAATTATAAAAACTGGGGGAGTTTTTGGCATTAGATTAAGTGTGCGTTTTTCCACCCAGGCCCAGCTTCAGACCCTCCCCCTAATCCCTCCCTCCATCCCCAGGCCTGCGTGTACGGTGAGCCCACCATGCTTCAGTGCAGTCTATAATGAAATGCTTATATTTACAGGCACAGCTGAGCGTGTCAGACAGAGCCCCTGCAATCTCCCCAAATAAAATAACCAAAAATAAATAAATAAAGGGGTCAACCCTGCGAGGCGGAGTGACTTTTAAAAGGATTTATCAGAATGGAATTGTTCAAATGAAATCCCGATTCAGGCACTTAAAATATGAGGCAACATCAGGCAATGCGGGTGTTGGTGGTTTTAAAGGTGCTGGGGGTTGGCTGGGTCGGGGGTTTGTGTGACAGTGCAGGTACTGTAGCTGGCAGGAGGTACACAAGCACAAAAACACTGGTAAGAAAGAGAGTCAGATCAAATCTGGAATTTCAGCACAGCAATGTCTCATCTCTCACTCTGACACGCTTGTTTTTTTCATAGGATGAAAGAGAGGAGAGAAAAAAGGGAAGAAAATAAATAAATGAAAATCAATAGTGGTTAATAAAACATCAGGTGAGCAGACATAACCAGGTATGACTCGTCCTCTGTTCAGGCGTGCATGAGTGCACTCGGTGCCATGACAATTAGCCATCCAGCTCAGAGTGGCCCACTGAAAAAATATCAACATTCAAAAAGAGAAGAGGGGAGGGAAAAGATTGAAGAAAGGGAAGAAGAAAGGAAAAAAGACAATGGCTGGTGGCTGCTGATGTGGAGGGTGAGAAAGGAATGGCCTGCCTCTCCATACTGTACAGAGAGAATGCTAACCAACGTTGAATATATATCAAAAGTGCATAAACAATTACATTTGAAATCTAGTGTAGTTTAGCCTGAAAAGCCCTGGTAGGTTAGGACCTGTACCTTATCATGGACAGTCATACAGCTGGCAGCATCCTTTTGGAGAATCTCAGTCACCCCATTGGCCAGTCGTTCATACTTCAGCTTAGGCTCCTCCTCACTGTCCTCCTCCTAGTTTAAAGAGGGATTCAGTTGAAACAATCCAGCATAATTAATCTGTAATATACAGACTATTACACTGGCACAGATTCATGCATTTACCTTGCTGACAGGGAATGGGAATTTGGTATGGAATTTTTGGAATTCCCATTTCCACTCCCTATCAGCAAGATATGGAATTCAATACAAAATCTCATACAAAATTCCCATTCCCTATCAGCAAGGTAAATGTTTCTAGATACACACAGTCACACAAATGCCCAAGGCCAGTCAACTCTCCACCTGTAACCAGATCATCCAACCTCTCTACTGGCTGCTCCACACACCATCCCAGGAACCAAAATTGATTACAGCCCTCCCTGGAATCCAGAGAATATGTGCTGCTGCCATATTCTCCTGTGTACATTTGCGGTCACAGCCTGAATTTCCCCATAACCCAGTTTATAACCAATTCTGCATAGACTATGGTCGCCAATATGGTGCATCAACACAAAACAAAGACCGCTATTATGAGCACTATGGGAGAAGGTGAGGTGTGGGTGGCAGTGTGTGAAGAGAATGTCATTTCCAAGAACCATCTTTTCCCACTCCACACAGCTATGTGTATTTCCTGTATATTCCCATTGTGAAATGTCTAATGCATGGGCATTTATCACGGTTTACAGAGCCATAACACAGAACAACAACAAACTCTTGCCCCATAGAGACTATAGGCACTGTTTTGCAGACTTTTCTTAGTGTGGTAAGTTTCCTTTGGTTGTTTTAGGCTGATGAGGCTCTACCACGTCATCACATTTATTTTTCAATTAATAAATATTCAGTAGGGCATGCTAAATTAAGGGTCTGATAGAAAATGTATATTACAACAACCCAGGGGGAAAAAATCTAGTGAACGTGAATCTGTCTACAGAGCATGGGCCAAGAGACTGGGTGGGAGCATGTTACTTGGTTCCTATCTAGTAATCTCTGGCAAAGCCTTCAACACATAGGCTACACTCTCACTGCCTTCATCAAGTTTGTCTGCTGACAACCCAGCCACGGAGACAGGCAAATAGCAAATGGGCAAGCTACAACACAATAACTAAATAAACAGGGCCTTGTAGCAATTCAGAGGGGACATACAATCATGCAGTCCCAGGTGCTTGTTTGCCTGTCAGTGTTTGTGTGCTAAAGTAGAGCGGATTCTGTTTGTGGACTGGTGATGGGGGCAGGCAGACTTTTCATTTACTGGTTGAGATTTTTTTTCTCCCCATTCCGAATTGTTTTTCTTTGGGGAGTAGGGGTGGAATTGTTCAATGTACTGGCTATTCCTGACATGTCATTCTCTGTATCATTTAAAGACAGGCTGCTCCTCATCCTATCAGTCTGACTTGCTATATTTTATTTAGTGCTTCCCAGACACACAATTAAAGGAGCTGGATATATCCAGAATCAAAATGTGTGTTGCAACAGTGTACTTCACAACCGCATGCATCTGACATGGTCAGACATTGTAACTCCTGCTGTTGATCCAGACTTTTTCACAACATGAAAACATTATGTTTACAGGTGGGGATAGCATCAATGCAGACAGCACAGACGTTTGCTACAGTTACTTCAGCCTAAATTAATAAAATTTATTTTTCTTATTGGAGGGCCATATTGTTTGCACACAACACTTACCTCAGAGTCATCTGTGGATTCTTCACTTGGTTTCCTGCCCTAAATTATAGTGATACGTGTTTATTAATGGATAGGGGCAAGACTTTACAATCTGCAAACTCATTACATTACATGCATAATACAGCAATAGTACAAGAGTAGCTAGCTTGGAAAATACTGTTAAGCGTTATGTTGTCTTTGTATAAATTGCGTTATGTTGTCTTTGTATAAAAAGCGTTATGTTGTCTTTGTATAAATTGTCTTTGTATAAATTGCATTCACCATTACAATGCATGGTTCACGTTGCATACTAGGTCGCAAATGTTGCATACTAGGTCGCAAATGCAATTAAACCATTTACATTTTTGAATTATTTCCTAGAAAACCAATGCATGAAGATAAAGTCGATTGTCGATTTGACTGCAAAACATTGCTGTAATGACAGATACGATGAGGTTTACCTTCTCCTCTACTTCTGCCATGATGATTGCGATTGGAAGAGAAAGCAAAACAGCGTTCTATTTGCAACTATCCATTAGTCAATTTAGATAGAGCTAACTAGCTAATGTTGCTCAAAAGAAAACTAAACGAATTCACCAAATGCCAGTATATTCACAAAGCAGCCCCTTGTTGACAATTGCACTGCGCGAGTCATAAGTAAAATCACATGACATAAACCAGAAACGTGTGGCATTATGGGTCTCAGAGTTTTCTTGTCAAATGGACTGCACCTCCTCCAATCTCCACTAGCCCAGTGGTTCTCAAACCTCGGCTCAGGGACCCCCAGCCATTCCATGTATTTAACCATTCTAGAGCTAGCACATCTGATTCAACTTGTCAACTAATTATCAAGCCCTTGACTACTTGAATCAGGTGAGCTAGCTCATGGCTACAACAAAACTGGAATGTCTGGAGGGCCCCGAGGAGAGGTTTGAGAACCACTGCCTAGCCTACTGCAACCACATCTTTGCTTCTTCTATTATTACAACTACTCTGTGGCTGCTGCAGTAATAATAATAATAATAATAATAATAATAATAATAATACACTATTCTAATTCTATAATACTGAAAATAGTCTAATAGAAATAGTCATATATAGGGCTTAATTCCCCCAATGTACTAAACTAAAACACTTGTGCAGGGATGTAGCTCAGTTGGTAGAGCATGGCGTTTGCAACGCCAGGGTTGTGGGTTCGATTCCCACGGGGGGCCGGTATGAAAAATAAAAATAATGTATGCACTCACTAACTGTAAGTCGCTCTGGATAAGAGCGTCTGCTAAATGACTAAAATGTAATGTAAATGTAATGTCAGGTACAGTTATAGGTGTGATATCAAGACAGGCTATCATTGGTCTTCCATCTTTCAAGGCGAGGAAGTGAAAACCTTACCTGTGTATGCTTTGGCTGTGGTATGCCTATTTTACCCTCTATATCACTAGGGCCCAACTCCTCAAATCGAGCTGCATCTTGGCTAGAGATGGCTTTACCTCTTACCTCTTCTATCCCACCGTATCACTAGAAGAGGGAACTGCTGGGAAACAATGAACACATTTCTCTCAGATCTGAGTGATTTTGGACAAATCAATACTCCATGCTGGTCTACTGTGAACATATGAGAGACTTTAATCCTGCAGGTATCAGAGAAGGAACATTTGTTGTCACCTTGTCTTAAAAGCACATCATAAGCACACATTTCCCTTTTATATTTCTATCCAGTTATGGACATTTGTAGGCTACCAAATCTGGGTTCTACAAGGGTAGGCCTATCAGTGTCTGTGTGTTGAGTCTATGTATACTGAACAAAAATATGAATGCAAAAGTGTTGGTCCCATGATTCATGAGCTGAAATAAAAGATCCCAGAACTTTTCCATACGCACAAAAAGCTTATTTCTCTCAAATTCTTGTAAGAAATGTGTTTACATCACTCTTAGTGAATATTTCTCCTTCGCCAAGATAATCTATCCACCTGACAGGTGTGGCATATCAAGAAGCTGATTAAACAGCATGATCATGACACAGGTGTTTACCATAAAATGTTTACCATGTGGGACATCCTTTTGTGAAATGTTTTGGTGGTCAACATCAGGGACGGCTCTAGCATTTTGGGACATCTAAGCAAGATTTGGTTGGGGTGCCCCCCCCACCAAGCGGGCACATTTTTGTGTCCCCCCTCTTGATGGCAGAGAGAAAAATGTATGTTTTACATTTTTTGTTGTTGTTGCAATATCATAAAAATGTCATGCAATTCTAATAATTTTGACAAGGGCTTCACCTGGAATGCTTTTCCAACCAGCTTCACCTGGAATGCTTTTCCAACTGTCTTGATGGAGTTCCCACATATGCTGGGCACATATTGGCTGCTTTTCCTTCACTCTGCCGTCCGACTCATCCCAAAACATCTCAACTGGTTTGAGGTCGGGGGATTGTGGAGGCCAGGTCATCTGATGCAGCACTCCATCACTCTCCTTCTTGGTAAAATAGCCCTTACACAGCATGGAGGTGTGTTGGGTCACTGTCCTGTTGAAAAACAAATGATAGTCCCACCCGTGTCGCTGCAGAATGCTGTGGTAGCCATGCTGGTTAAGTGTGCCTTGAATTCTAAATAAATCACAGACAGCGTCACCAGCAAAGCATCCCCACACCATAACACCTCCTCCTCCATGCTTTACAGTGGGGAACTACACATTCGGAGATCATCCGTTCACCCACACCGCGTCTCACAAAGACCAAAAATCTCACATTTTGACTCCAGACCAAAGGACAAATTTCCACCGGTCTAATATCCATTGCTCGTTTTTCTTGGCCCAAGCAGGTCTCTTCTTCTTATTGGTGTCCTTTAGTAGTGGTTTCTTTGCAGCAATTCGACCATGAAGGCCTGATTCACACAGTCCCCTCTGAACAGTTAATGTTGAGATGTGTCTGTTATTTGAACTGTGTGAAGCATTTATTTGGCCTGCAATTTCTGAGGCTGGTAATTCTAATGAACTTATCCTCTGCTGCAGAGATAACTCTGGGTCTTCCATTCCTGTGGCGGTCCTCATGAGAGCCAGTTTCATCATTGCGCTTGATGGTTTTTGTGACTGAGCTTGAAGAAACTTTCATGGTTCTTGACATTTTCCGTATTGACTGAACTTTATGTCTTAAAGTAATGATGGACTGTCATTTCTCTTTGCTTATTTGAGCTGTTCTTGGCATAATATGGACTTGGTCTTTTACCAAATAGGGCTATCTTCTGTATACCCCCCCCCCCCCCCCCTACCTTGTCACAACACAACTGATTGGCTCAAACACATTAAGAAGGAAAGAAATTCCACAAATTAACTTTTAAGAAGGCACACCTGTTAATTGAAATGCATTCCAGGTGACTACCTCATGAAGCTGGTTGATAGAATGCCAAGAGTGTGCAAAGCTGTCATCAAGGCAAAGGGTGGCTATTTGAAGAATCTCAAATATAAAATATTTTTTGATTTGTTTAACACTTTTTTGGTTAATATGTGATTCCATATGTGTTATTTCATAGTTTTCACTATTATTCTACAATGTAAAATTAGTAAAAAATTAAGAAAAACCCTTGAATGAGTAGGTGTATCCAAACTTTTGACTGGTAGTGTATGTCATGTTAATGATATATGATTGAGAGTGACTAACAAAATCAATGGGGGGCCCCTGGAGGTCAGGGACCCTCATTGGAGGTCAGGGACCCTGGGCACACGCCCTGCGTGCCCGGTCAGTATTATTTGGCCATGATTACTACAAGTTTAGGTAACTTAAAAATCAAAACTTGTTTTGCTGCCATGTTTCCATTGACCCATTTTTATTAGACAAAAGCAATGTCGCAAAAAAATATTTGCGACATGTGTAATAGCAACGGCAGATATAGGAAAAATGTTCTAAAGATCGACAAAAATGTTATACGTTCGACAGGGGTGAATTTTTCTTTAGTCAAGCTTTCTTTATTGCAACAAATGATGACCAACAAATGATAACCTGTGCCCCACACATTGACGATGTACCTGTATATAGCCTCGTTACAGTTATTTTACTGCTGCTCTTTAATAATTCGTTATTTATTTTATTTTCTTTTTTTTCCTTATCTATTTTTACCTTAACACTTATTTTTCGTAAAACTGTATTGTTGGTTAAGGGCTTGCAATTAAGCATTTAACTGTAAGGTCTCCACCGGTTGTATTCGTCGCATGTGACAAATACAATTTGATTTGATTTAATTGGATAGAAACTGTTTTTCGAATAAATAATGTTTGCAGAATCACTTTGAAAATACGCATGGCATGTGATGTCACCGCGTAACTATAAAGCTCCACTCCACATTTAATTCTAAATGCCTACTGCTAGCAAAATCTTTTTTTTTACTATAAAAATAATGTTTCTTTGCAGAACAAGGATTGTCCTGACTTTCAAGAATGCCTGAATTGCTTCGCCTTGCTTTTCTGGTTTTAACATCAAATTATTTCTGATCTACAGGAGTGCAGGTTTCACCATGGCACGGACCGTGGCGATATGTTGGCACATGGGAATTATTAGAATATGTCAAATATTAGAAAATTATTGCATTCTAACCATGCTTGCTTTCACAGGCTACCTGACACATGAAACAGATTGGTGGAAGGGCATAAAGGCTGTCGCCAATTTATTAATGTGCAATTTGTCTAAATGGGTAATGGAAACACTTCAACCACTACATTTTTATTGACATTGTAGGTTTTTGAATGTGACGTCATTACGTCCAGCTGTTTTTATCGACACAAGATAGTTAAATGGAAACGCACCCTTGCAGGGAATTGTCAAATCTATTTTCTATGAAAACTTTCTTAATGTCGATCCAAAAAAATCACTGGACAAGTTAATGGAAACATAGCAGTGCATTCGGAAAAAGTATTCAGACCCCCTTACGTTACAGCCTTCTTCTAAAAATCGATTAAATAAAAAAACAACCTCATCAATCTACACACAATACCCCATAATGACAAAGGGAAAACAGGTTTTAAGAATTTTTTTGCAAAACAAAATAATAATAAAATAAATACCTTATTTACATAAGTATTCAGACCCTTTGCTACGAGATTCGAAATTGAGCACATGTGCATCCTGTTTCCATTGATAATCCTTGAGATGTTTCTACAACTTGATTGGAGTCCACCTGTGGTAAATTCAATTGTTTGGACATGATTTGGAAAGGCACACACCTGTGCATGACAGTGCATGTCAGAGCAAAAACCAAGCCATGAGGTCGAAGGAACTGTCCGTAGAGCTCCGAAACAGGATTGAGTTTAGGCACAGATCTGGGGAAGGGTACCAAAAAATGTCTGCAGCATTGAAGGTCCCCAAGAAAACAGTGGCCTCCATCATTCTTAAATGGAAGAAGTTTGGAACCACCAAGACTCTTCCTAGAGCTGGCCGCCCGGCCAAACTGAGCAATCGGGGGAGAAGGGCCTTAGTCGGGGAGGTGACCAAAAACCCGATGGTCACTCTGACAGAGCTCCAGTTCCTCTGTGGAGATGGGAGAAACTTCCAGAAGGACAACCATCTCTGCAGCACTCCACCAATCAGGCCTTTGTGGTAGAGTGGCCAGACAGAAGCCACTCCTCAGTAAAAGGCACATGACAGCCCGCTTGGAGTTTGCCAAAAGGCACCTAAACGATTCTG